TCTGCAGGTGGGTGGCCGTCCTGTGAGGTCCCCTGACAACCTGCTGCACTCAACTCGGCAGCCCCCAGTGTCACATTGTCGTGCTGCCTGTGGCCCCGCGGGAGGATCCAGAAGCCCAGGCACTCAGTGCCTCTGCTGTGACCTCATGCATTCTCAGGGGCCTCAGGAGCCCACCCCAGACAGCTCCCCCTCGCCCCTGGCCCCTCAGCCACCATCCTCCGTGCGGAGCCGTGGCGTGTCTGTCGGTGTTCACCGAGCAACTCCAGAGCTTACTGGTGGGCCCGCTCTGGGAAGGATCAGCAGAGTTCGTCCCTCCCAGTCGTTCTGCATGTCAGCTCAGAACTCGCAGAGGTCACAGCAGCCAGGGCTGGGCCAGGCCTCCCACGCAGGTGCTTCCCGCAGCGCACTAGCAGGGAACTGGGTGGGAAGTGCATCAGCTGGGCTCACAGGTCGTGGCTTAGCCACAGCCTGCCCATTTCCAGCAGGGCTTCGGCCTTCAGTGTGCTAGTGGACGGCGCAGGCCCATGACGCCTGGGGCTGACCATGTGGACATGAGCAGTCACTTGCCAGTCTCCCAGGGAGCTGGGACCCACCAAGTGCCCATCATGGCACACGCTGGATCGTGTGTCTTGAGGTCTGTTGGTATTCAGTTATGGTGCAGATTAAATGTCACCCTGGATGCCACCAGCATCCCACACTAACAGCAGGTTCAAGTCCCAGCCTCTCTGCTTCCCATCCAGCTCCCTGTTAAAGCACCTGGGAAACTGGCAGAAGATGGAGTTTCAGGCTCCTGACTTCAGCCGGCCCAGGCCTGGCCGCGCGACCAGCTGGGGGTGAGGCCAGCAGCTAGGTCGGTCTGTCCGCCCAGAAGGAAGCTCATGTCAGGTCTCCCGCCATGTCTGAGTGCCCACGCGGGTGCAGCCTGGGAGCTGGGCTAGCCACACTCAGGCCTCTGCTGCCCAGTGCGTCCATCTGCCCGTGGCACGAGGCCTGCTTCTTTCCACTAAGGGCGGCCTCGCTGACTGTCCATGCCGCTCTGCCACTGAGAGGAGCACTTGCCTGGCTGACCTCCCCATTAGGCTCCACTGATGAGCAGGCCCTGCCTACACTGCTACCCTAGGGGTTGGCCTCAGGTTCTGTAACCTGGGGAGCCTCCTGGGGGAGTCCGTCCCAGCTGGGGCTGTTTTAGAACTCTCTTCAGACTGCTCGGCTGGCTTTCGCAGTTTCTGTTCAGGCATGGGATTAGCTGGGAGGCTTCCTCCTCCTCCCCTGGCCCACTGCGGAGTGGAGCAGGGAGCCCCTGCCTCGCTGAGCGCCTCACGGGAGCCTGTGGCCCTGGCTTAGACAGCTCTCCCGCAGAGGAGCGGCCCTGCCACTCCGTCAGCCCCTGGGTCTCATGTGTACCTGCTCTGCTTGCAGCCTGACTCGGATCCCACCAAACACCCGACCCCATCCAACAGCTCCAACCCCAGCGGCCCACCAAGCCCCAGCTCGCCCCACCGGAGCCAGCTGCCCCTCGCTGGCCTAGAGCAGCCAGCCTGTGACGCCTGAGGCTGCCGCGGGGCCGCCCATCCCTGGTCAGTGCCAACACAGCTGCCCTCCCCCGCCGTGCTGTCCGAGGAGACGTGGAGTCAGCCCGCAGCTGAGACAGAGGGAACCTTTACCGGGACCATGGTCTACTCTCCGCAGCAGCCACCACGTGCGTGACAGCCCATTTGCACAGGAAGGCACGGAGGGACAGCGGCCACCGGAGGCCCCAGTCCCCAGCCCTGCGGGACTTCAACTGTTGCAAAGTCAGCCCTGGTTACACAGAGGCCCCGCGACCGGTGACACCGGTCACGCCGCGCCCCTGCATGCTTGCTGCCTGGGGGACCCCTCACCCACCCTGCATGGCACCCAGTCCGGATCACATAGAATCATCCCCGCAGCAGTGCACGCCTGCAGTCAGTGTCCCTTCCCTGTAGCTGGCGTTGCGTGCTCAGGTCTGTGGCCCTGAAGGCTCGTGTCCAGCCGAGCAGCAGATGCAGCCTGCCCCTGCCATGCGCTGTGGCTGGTGTCACACGCTGGCGTCTGTTGCGGGTTCTCATTTTTAATTTTTTAATGTAAGTTGAGTCTTTGTAATTATTGAATTGTGAGAACATTTCTGAAGAGTCTCCCTGTCAATAAAGCAGAGGGGGCAGTTTCAAAGACCCCTGTGGTCATTTCCCTCTGTCCTAGCTCCCTGGTCCTGCCAGGTACCCCGAGGGCACTGTGTGGGGCCACAGTGTGGAGCAGGGCCTCGTCCGCACACTCCCGCTGTTGGGACAGACCAGGCCGGAGGGCTCGGAGCTGGTTCCGGCCCAGGGGTACCTGGTATTGGCTGCTCGCAGATAGCTATGTTGTGCAAGTCCTGAGCTGATCTGAGGGAACGGTTGGGGCCTTCACAGGGGCAGGTGGTCCCCCCAGGAACACATGGGGCTATTCCTCACCCACCCTGGAACCAGGGTCAGACCCCAGCTGTGAGGGCCTGCAGGCAGCCTGCACACGCATGCAGACAGCTGTGGCCACCATGACTACTGGTCAGTGCACAGCGATGAGAGCCCCAAGAGCGACCAGGGGTCGCTACCCTAGGAACTTGCCAGCTGTGGCATCCACATGTGGAGGACAACAACCCCCGGTGAGCCTGGCAGGTGAAAGGGTGTGGACCCAGACATGGGCAGAGTACTGAGTGTGCAGAAGGCCCTTTGTTAGGTAGCTCTCCAGAGAAAAGGAGAGATGGAAAGGTCCTCCATCTGTTGGTTCACTCCCCAAGTGGCTGCAGTGGCCAGAGCTGAGCTGATCCGAAGCCAGGAGTCAGGAGCTTCTTCCAGGTCCCCTGTGGATGCAGACTTTGGGCTGTCCTCAGCTCCTCTCAGGCCATAAGCAGGGAGTTGGATCCGAAGTGGAGCAGCCAGGACACGAACCAGTACCCACATGGGATCCTGACCTTTCTAAGGTGAGGATTCAGCCACTGAGCCAGCTCTGCTTTCACTGCTGAGTTCCAGGGAGACCTAGCAGCAGCAGACCTACTCTTGGCAGCAGCGGGCCCGGGGCGGGAGGTTTGTACACCTCAATATTGTCTCCAGGGACTTCTCATTTAGAGAGGAATTAAAACAGGGCAAGAGCTACCTGTTTCCCATGGCGTTTTGGAAGAAACGGAGGAAGCCCTCAGATAAACACTAATTGACAGCAGCACTCTAGCGCCCTACCCGTGTGAGTCGCCCTGTGCTGTGGCACACAGGTAACGCTGCCTGCAGTGCAGGCGTCACACATGGCTGCTGCTTCAAGTCTTGCATTTCAGATCCAGCTCCCTTCTTGTCATTTTCTGTCTGCGGGCTCATTTCTACAAACGGCTCCAACAGCTGTGGCCAGGCCAGGAGCCTGGGACCTCCCTGGGGCTGGGGGCAGCATGGTAAGCTGCCACCTGCCACCACAGCATCCCATATAAGTGCTGGTTTGTGTCCCAGCTCCAGCTTGGTCCAGCCCCAAGCGCTGCAGCCATGTGGGGAGTGAGCCAGTACCTTTCAAATAAAATAAACCTTTTTGATTAAGGAAGATGGGGGTCAGTGCAGTGGCATAGCAGGCTAAAATCTGTGACACAGATGTCCCTTACAGGCCCTGGTTCACGTCCCGGCTGCTCCACTTCCCATCCAGCTCCCTGCTTGTGGCCAGGGAAAGCAGTCGAGGACGGCCCAAAGCCTTGGGACCCTGCACCCACACGGGCAGCTTGGAGGAGGCTCTGGGCTCCTGGCTTTGATCTAATCCAGTTCAGGCCATGACAGCTACTTGGGGAGTGAACAAGCAGATGGAAGGTCTTTCTGGCCCCAGCACCGTAGCCTAGCAGCTAAAGTCCTCACCTTGCAAGCGCCGGGATCCCATATGGTCACCAGTTCTAATCCTGGCAGCCCTGCCCCATCCTGCTGGGAAGGTAGTCGAGGATGGGCCAGCTCAGCTCTGCCCACTTGGAAAGTGAGTGGGCAGACCGCTTTTCCTCTCCTGCAGATCTGCCTTCCCCATAAAGTAACTTACGCACAAAGGCTTCCCTTGGTAGATGCAGACATGCCACAAGTCGTCATTGTCCACGACAAACACACCAGCACGCTGCGCCATCGACGCCATGTGTGACAAATGGCATGGACGCCAACAAGGGTCACAGGCTCTCCCTCACAGCTGGGGTGCTGCCAGGATGCCCACTCAGTGAGAGCCCTGCCAGGCGCTCAGGCCCTGGGGGGAGGGGCACATCCCAGCTCTGCGTGGTGGATGGCAGAGCAACCTAGACCAGCCATGCCTGGCGGGCGCCCAGGGGCCTGAAGCTGCACCGCAGACACCAAAGTGGGGAGCCCCTGCAGTGGGCGCAGGGATGGCCCACCAGCAGGCCGGGTGGCACGCACCCTGGAGGGAGGGGAAGCTGGGCAGCAGTGGGGACTACAAGTGGGGACTACTGGAGGGCGGTAAGGGGATCGTGCAGTGACAGCCAAGTGTGGGTCCAGGAGAACCAGCTAGGTGGGGTTGCACGCTGTCAACACCAACAAAGTGAGCCGCTCAGGGAGATGGACGCTGAGACCTGAGTACGCAGGAGTGCCCTAACTAGAGCCAGCAAGGAGCCAGCGCAGCACAGGAACCAGCTAAAGGAGCCCAGCGCTAAAGCAGAGGCTGCGCCAGGCGCTAGCCCTGAGGGGAGTCAGCGGGCACACAGACCTGCCCAAAGGCCCCAGGGCTCCACGGCCGCCCCTGCCCAGCGCGTCCATGCTAACCCATGGCCAGGGATCCCCAGCTGCCCACGTAGTACCCAGCCCCACCAACAAGGCCTGGGCAACCCTGCTCAGGCCACCCCGGGGTAGCCTCACCATTTGCTGTCCTCTCAGACAGGGCCCCCAGCCACCCCACAGACCACACACGCGCTGGGGGCGGTGCCGAGGCAGACGGGCGCATCCCCAGGGCCGGTGGGCAAACCCCTTTATTGGGCTGGGCCACACTGGGAAGTTAGGGGCAGGACGCGCGGGAGGAGCGGCGGCAGTCAGGCCTCGGCCTCTGCAAACAGCGGGTTGACGAAGTAGCTGTGGCTGGTGCCACTGACATCCGACTGTGGGGCTGGGCTGGGCAGCCGCACCGAGGGCTGCGGGAACAGAGGGTCAGGGGGGCTTCGGCTGTCAAGCCCCAGCCCAGGACCGTCTCCAGCCCCCTGCAGCCCCGCCTCACCAGGTCCTGGGAGGCCGCCACGTCGAACATGGGGTTGCGGAAGCCCAGGGGCACCTCCGTGCCCACTCCAGTTTCTCGTTGTGGCCACCTGGAATGGGGCGGATTCGCGGAGAGCCCCAGCCGGCCCTGCGCCCACCTGTGCGCCCACCCCCGGCCCCGCGCCTCACGCACCTGAGCCGCCCGGAGCGGCGAAGCAGCAGCGTGGCCACCAGCAGCGCCAGCAGCACCAGCGCCGCGGCCACTAGGCCGCCCACGAGCCCCGCGCGGGGCGCTGTCCCCTGCAGCCCCGACGCCGAGCCGCCCCCGGTGGGCGCGCCGGACTCCCGCACGGCGGCCGCCAGGATCCCCAGCGCCGCGCCTGCGAACGGGGGTGCGGGCTCAGTCTCCCCGTGGGGCGGGGGCGGGGCGAGCGCGGGGTGCGGGTCCGTGGGGGTCCGGGGCGGTACCGTGCTGCTCCGCGTCGGCCAGGAGCTCCCGGGCCAGCCGCCCCGCCGCGCCCTCCTCGGGCCGGGCTTCCGCCAGCACCACCTGGACCTCCGTGTCGGACTCGCGCAGCCGGGACGCGCGCGGCACCTTGGACACGGCCACCTGCAGCCCCTGGTACTGGGGCTGGGGTCGGAGGGCGCCCGCGTCACGCCGGGACCCGCGGGCCCGCGTCGGGGCCACCTCCCGCCGCCCGCACCGCCCCGTTACCAGGACCAGGAAGGCGTCCAGCAGCCGCGCCCGGTACCGCTCCAGGTCAAAGGCGGGGCCGTGGGTCAGCGACAGGACGGCTCCTGCGGCGGGAGCGCACGGTCAGGGGCAGGGCCTGGGTCAGGGGCAGGGGCAGGGCCTGGGTCAGGGGCAGGGGCAGGGCCTGGGTCAGGGGCAGGGGCAGGGCCTGGGTCAGGGGCAGGGGCAGGGTCAGGGTCAGGGGCAGGGGCAGGGCCTGGGTCAGGGGCAGGGGCAGGGGCAGGGGCAGGGGCAGGGCCTGGGGCAGGGTCAGGGGCAGGGGCAGGGTCAGGGGCAGGGTCAGGGGCAGGGGCAGGGTCAGGGCCTGGGTCAGGGGCAGGGGCAGGGTCAGGGGCAGGGCCTGGGGCAGGGTCAGGGTCAGGGGCAGGGCCTGGGTCAGGGGCAGGGGCAGGGTCAGGGGCAGGGCCTGGGGCAGGGTCAGGGTCAGGGTCAGGGCCTGGGTCAGGGGCAGGGGCAGGGCCTGGGGCAGGGGCAGGGGCAGGGCCTGGGTCAGGGTCAGGGTCAGGGGCAGGGGCAGGGGCAGGGCCTGGGGCAGGGCCTGGGGCAGGGTCAGGGTCAGGGCCTGGGTCAGGGGCAGGGTCAGGGCCTGGGTCAGGGGCAGGGGCAGGGCCTGGGTCAGGGGCAGGGGCAGGGGCAGGGCCTGGGTCAGGGGCAGGGGCAGGGGCAGGGGCAGGGCCTGGGGCAGGGTCAGGGTCAGGGTCAGGGCCTGGGTCAGGGGCAGGGGCAGGGTCAGGGTCAGGGTCAGGGGCAGGGTCAGGGCCTGGGTCAGGGTCAGGGTCAGGGGCAGGGTCAGGGCCTGGGTCAGGGTCAGGGTCAGGGTCAGGGGCAGGGTCAGGGCCTGGGTCAGGGTCAGGGTCAGGGGCAGGGCCTGGGTCAGGGGCAGGGTCAGGGGCAGGGTCAGGGCCTGGGTCAGGGTCAGGGGCAGGGGCAGGGCCTGGGTCAGGGGCAGGGGCAGGGGCAGGGCCTGGGTCAGGGGCAGGGGCAGGGCCTGGGTCAGGGGCAGGGGCAGGGGCAGGGGCAGGGCCTGGGGCAGGGTCAGGGTCAGGGTCAGGGCCTGGGTCAGGGGCAGGGTCAGGGGCAGGGTCAGGGCCTGGGTCAGGGTCAGGGGCAGGGGCAGGGGCAGGGCCTGGGTCAGGGGCAGGGTCAGGGGCAGGGTCAGGGCCTGGGTCAGGGTCAGGGTCAGGGGCAGGGTCAGGGGCAGGGCCTGGGTCAGGGTCAGGGGCAGGGGCAGGGCCTGGGTCAGGGGCAGGGGCAGGGGCAGGGGCAGGAGCGCTGGCCCGGCGCGGGCGGGGGCGCTCACCGCAGAGGCCGCAGCACTGGCCCTCGGGCCGGACGGCGGCGTGGCAGGCGGCCGGCGGGCAGCGGCCAGCGCGCGGCTGCAGCAGAGCGGCGCAGATCCGGGGCAGCGCCTGCGGGGCGCGGGGCGGTCAGGCGGCGGCGGCGGCGGCGGCGGCGGCGGCGGGAGGGAGGGAGGGAGGCCGCGCTCACCTCGGCGTTCCCGCACACGCAGCCCGACGGGTCGGCGCAGGCCTCGGGAGCCAGGCGCAGCGAGCCCGGCCCGTGGAAGCGCAGGCGGCCCGCGCGGGACGCCAGGAAGGCGGCCAGGTCGTCGTCGCGCGTGAAGGTCTGCGGGGCAGCGGAAGGCGCGGCCTGAGCGCTGGGGGCTGCTCACCTGGCCTGCCCCCCGCTCACCTGGCCTGCCCCCCGCTCACCTGGCCTGCCCCCCGCTCACCTGGCCTGCCCCCCGCTCACCTGGCCTGCCCCCCCTCACCTGGCCTGCCCCTCCCCCCTCACCTGGCCTGCCCCCCCTCACCTGGCCTGCCCCTCCCCCCTCACCTGGCCTGCCCCCCCTCACCTGGCCTGCCCCTCCCCCCTCACCTGGCCTGCACCCCCCCGCTCACCTGGCCTGCCCCTCCCCCCTCCCCTGGCCTGCCCCTCCCCCCTCACCTGGCCCAGCGCCGACACGCAGCGGACGCGCACGGGGTCTGTGCCGGGGCCGAGCCCCACGCGGAAAGACGCGTCGGCCGGGAAGACGACGTCGTCGTGGCGGCAGGGCACGCGCTCGGCGTCCACGGAGAACAGCGCGCGCGCCTCGCCCCGCGGCCGCCACGAGCGCGGGTCGAACCACGAGAAGCGGTCCGGGTTCAGGAAGAGCGCAGGGGCGCCTGGGGGCGGGGCGCGCGGCCCTTAGCTCCGCCCAGGACACGCCCTCCGAGAAGCCACGCCTCCACGCGACAGGGCTTCTCGAAAATGGCCCTGCCTTCTTCCCAGTCCCGCCCCGACCTCCCTGGCCCCGCCCCTCTCCCGTGGCCCGCCCTGACCTCCAGTGGCCCCGCCCCTTTCCCCAGGCCCGCCCCAGCTCCTTGGCCCCGCCCCCGAGCTCCCCGGCCCCGCCCTCTCACCGAGGCCGCAGCCCGGGTCCGAGCCCGCGTCGGCTGCGCCGAGCCCCGCTCCGGAATCCAGGACGAGTTCCCCGTCCAATGGCAGGAGCTGCGGAGGGCACGGGCTGAGATGGCGCCTTGACGGTCCCCAGGACAGGGCACGTGATGGCCCAGGGTCCAGTCCGCGGAGTCACGCACACTGGGTGTCCAGCAGGGTGGGGGGCGTGTCGAAAAGCATCCCTCAGCTCAGAGTGATTAGGGGTGGGGAAGGAGGGCTGGGGCGGAAGAGGGCCTCGACCTCGCCCGTGCTGGCCAGCAGGCCGTCGCCCCCGGGCGTGAGGACAGGCGTCAGGAACAGGGACCGACTGCAAGCACGAAGTGCGAGAATGCTGGGTTTAAAATTGGGGATGGCATTCTACATGGGCACGGGCGCCATCCTGGCTACTCCACTTCCGATCCAGCTTCTTGCAAATGACTTGGGAAAAGCAGGGGTGGTGGCCCTGGGTGCAGGTGGTCCCTGCACCCACCATGGGGACCAGGGTGAAGCTCCTGGCTTGTGCTTGGCTCTGGCCTTTGGGGCCATCAGGGGAGTGGGGCAGCAATGGAAGATTCTGTCTCCCCCCTCCCCGCTAACGCCCCCAACTCTGCCCTTCCTGCCTCTGCTAATGAGCCCCCTGGAGGCAGCAGGGACTTGGGGACCACCACTCACTGGGGGGGCAGGTCTCCTGGCCTAGCCTGGGCTGTTGCACCTGGGGAGAGGGGCCTGTGCTCTAAAGGAACGCTAGGGGCAGACGAAGAGGGGGCAAGGGCCCGGGCGCCCTCCCCAGGGGTGCAGCCCGCCCGCAAGCCTGGGTCCGCCAGATGCCTCACCAAGTGCGAGAGCATGTGGCTTCCTCGTACCAGGACCGACACCATCTAGGGGAAGCGGCAGTATCAGTGGAAGGTGGGCTCTGCCCACGGGCACCCCACACACCCAACGGGAGTCCCTGGACACCTTGTCCGCTGGGAACTGCGCAGCGCCACCGGCACACGGAGTCTGGTTCTGGCTCCAGTTGGTGGCGTCCTCGAAGTGGGTGTTAGGGACCCAGAGTTTGGAGGCCGCCTGGGCTAGCACTGTGGAAGGGGCGCCTCAGTGCCTCCCCTCCACGTGGGGTGCCAAGAGCCTCCCCGACGGCTCCAACAAACTCCGGCGCCCGGCCTGTGCCCCCCACCCCCATTTGCTGGGGCAGAGGTCAGGGTCAGTCAGGGACAGCGATCACCGCAGGAGGGCCCACTCAGGTTCACTGGGGGGGGGTCAGGAGGGCTTCCTGGAGGAGTGTCCTCCCCTCCCTCGCCCCCGATTCCAGGAACGCAGGGCTGGAGGCTGAACAGGCCAGCGGTTCAAACCCCCAGGAGTTGGGGGGCGGTCACCAGGGAAACTGAGGCGGGGCCCGAAGGAGGTCCCAGAAGACTGTGGCGGACCCCAAGCCTGCACCCCGTTAGTGGGTCTCTGGGGGAACCCGCCCGCGACCCCGCACCCGCTTACCGCACAGTTGCAGCCACAGCACGAGCCAGCCCAGCGCGCCCATCTCTTCTGCGGCCGCGTCGCAGACGCGCAGACTTTGCCCGCCTTGGGGCACCTGACCCGGGCGCCGTGGTCGGTTACACATTCACCTGCGGACCCGCCCGGGCCCTGCCGGCAGCCTCACCCCCGGCCGGGATGCAAGAGGGGCCGCCCTGGAGTCAGCCCCCTGCGGGGCCAGGCCGTCTGACCCCAGCCAGGAGCTCCCCAGAAGATGGGGAGCAGGGAGCAGGTCCAGGTCCAGGGTGCTGGTTCTGGACCGCTCCTGGTCACGGGGAGCTGACCATACAGGTGAGGCACACAGCTGGACCGGGAGCCGCTGGCCACTGGATGCTGTGGTATGTACGCCAGGCATTTGGGGGTGGGGCCGGGAGGCTTGCGATTAGGGCAGGGGAAAGAGTAACAGGTGCACCCTGGGCAGGGGATGCGTGTGGAATGAAGGTGGAGGAGATGGTGGGTGAGGCGTGGCTGGCTGGAGGAGACGGCGGACCAACGAGCAGTGCCTGGACCAGGCCAGTGGACGTGCAGATGGACCGTGAATGGGAGAAGGCAGTGAAGGGCTTTTAGAGAAACTGCAGGCGGTGGAGATGGGGAGTGGATTCGCATGGAGGCCGGATGAGGTGTAGATGCTAGGGGCTGATGTAGGGAGGAGCCCGCTGGACACTGCCAAAGCCACAGCCTGGCCTCTGCAGCTCCCGGGCCCGCCCCCGGCCCTGGGGATAGCCCCCCCCTCCTCCCGGAAGCGCCGTGGACTGAGGGACCTTCACTCAGGACCGGGAAGCAGCAGATCTGTGGGTTGGGGTCTCCCTGTGGCTTCCACAAGGGGTAAGACAGACTTCAGCCTAGGGCCCGAGCAGAGGAGCCTTCGAGGAACGCGCAGCAAGTGGGCGGCACTGAGAGCAGTAAGGCCCGGTCTCGGGAAGCAGCCCCTCCTGACCGCTCAGCCGGAGCCCGTGCCGGTGAAGCCCACAGGGAGACGCCCAGGGCAGCCAGACCCCAGGGAAGCTGCGGAGGGGCCCAGGGCAACTGCCCAGCGTGGACGCTGCAAGTGGTGGATCCTCCGAGCAGCCCAGGAAGAGCTACGGGCAGAGGCCTGGGGCAACCTCGCAGGGCCCATCCCCGGGAAATGCGTAGGCGCCTCGGAGGTCCTCACAGAACCAGGAGGCCAGGCTGGGTTTGCCAGCAACTGAGAAGGGAACCCTTGGGGCGTGTGTGTGTGTGTGTGTGTGTGTGTGTGTGTGTGTGTGTGTGTGTGTGTGTGTGTGTGTGTGTGTGTGTGTGTGTGTGTGTGTGTGTGTGTGTGTGTGTGTGTGTGTGTGTGTGTGTGTGTGTGTGTGTGTGTGTGTGTGTGTGTGTGTGTGTGTGTGTGTGTGTGTGTGTGTGTGTGTGTTTCCCCGTTTACCCAAGGTGGGTGTCCTTCCTGAGTCCCGGCCACGGTGGCTGCTGGGGGACCAGGTGTATGGGCAGCAACGCTGGGGTGACTCAGGAGGGGGTCCCAGCTCGGGGGGGCCCCCCTCCTGGGGTTCAGGACAGAGCGGCACACCTCTGGGCCCCAGGCTGCAAGGCCACCTCAGCATATGAGCAGTGCCCAGCTCTACGGGGGTGGGCTGAGAAGGGGCCAGCCACTCAGCCCTGCTGGCCCTTGTAGTCGGGGTGGAGGCTGGGCAGATGAGGAGGCCCAGAGAGGCAGCCTGGAGGCTGTTTCTCATCCAGAAAGGTCTTCACCTGCTGGTCCACTCCTGATTCCTAAACAGCCCGCAGTCTGGGGCGTGTGCCTCGCAGGGTGCACATGGTCAGTCTGCATGGGGATCTGAGCGAGACCCTGTGAGAGCGGCCGCCCTGGGACGTCGGAGGGCCCATCTCCGTCCTCGAGCGCGAGAGCTGGCTCTGGGGTGTCTGCATCAGAGTTGGCAGCATAGTTTGGCGGTTACCATCCATTTCTACTGCTCTAAAACTTGGGGGGCAAAGTCCCAGAGGTATCAAAGGTACAAAATTGTATCTGAAAGCTGGCCGACCTGGTGCACGGCACGTGCCTGGCCCTCAGGTGGGCGTCAGCACCCATTCCTGCTGGGCCAGAAGCCCGGGAAGAGGTTCCTGGACTCGGGCTCCTCAGGGCCTGGACCCTGCTGGGACAGCCTGATGTGGGGAGGCCAGTGTGGCTGGCTCAGCCTGTGGCAAGGGGTAGAGCGTACCCACGCAGGACCTGGTGGGAGGGCCCTGGGCCACACTTGTGGGTGAGACCATCTCCAGCCCTAGCCCCATGTTAGCCATGGAGGGGTGAGGCTGAGGAGTGTGCAGGAAGGGGGTGTCTCCTGACCGGGGCGTCCCCAGGGCCTGCATGGGCAGCCACAGGAGTGTCACCTGCAAGGCGGGCACTGCCTGGTTGTACTCAGTGAAGAGACAGCCCTTGGCTTTCCACCCACTGCTTCACTCCATAATGGGTGACCGGGCCAGGAACTCTGCCCAGATCTCCCATGAGGGTGGGAGAGGTGGGACTCAGTGCCAGGGACTGGGGCCCAGGCTGCAGGCATCTTTGTGCTGTGCTGCCCCGGCCACCTCTTCTCAGGAGGAAAACACTGACTTTGCGCTTTAAAGTGGAGGAAGCTGGGCCTGGCGCGGCTAAAGTCCTCTCCACACACATATGGGAACCCATATGGGCGTCAGTCCTAATCCCAGTGGCCCCACTTCCCATCCAGCTCCCTGCCCTGGGCCTGGGAAAGCAGTGGAGGACGGCTGGACCCTGGGACCCTGCACCCGTGAGGGAGACCTGGAAGAAGTTCCTGGCTCCTGGCTTCGGATCAGCTCAGCTCCGGCCATTACGGCCGCCTGGGGAGTGAGTCAACAGACAGGTCTTCCTCTCTGTCTCTCCTCCTCTCTGTATCTGACTTTCCAATAAAAATAAATAAATAAATAAACAATCAAATCAAGTGGAGGAAGCTGATCTGGGAATCCGCGGCCCATCAGAGTGGAGCCAGGGAGAAGCCGGGCGCCAGGCCAGCCACAGACAGCGAGGCGAGGTCTGGAGGCCACACGGGGAGCCACACCGTCTGCAGGGCCCTTGTTCCGCGTGACCCGGGAGCGGCCCGCCCGTGAGACGCACGCACGGCAGACCAGGACTCCGTACTCAGATTTATTTTTCTCTAATAAGACAGTTTTAGCATTTCAAAGTTTTGCATTCTACAGTCTTACAAACTTTAGTTATTAGCATAGGAAACACAAAAACATTGCAAGACCTCAAAACATAAATAAATACCAAATAAACCACACAAAATGTACAGCAAACAGAAACGTAACACAGTAATGCTTTGAGGAAAGGAGACGTGTTGCTGTCTGGTAGGAACACCATGATTATTGCTGAGCAATCGCTTAGACTGTCTGTTCTTTCTTAGAAGCGCGGACAACACGGACGCGAGTTCACGGACGGCTGATCACTTGGAGTGCCGGGATGGGGCCTGGTGGCAAGCAGCTACTGCGGGCGGCACTGGTGTCAACGGGCAGAGAAAAGACAGGGTCCAATGAGAGACGGGCCTTCTTTGGTCTTTGTCTGCGGGTAAGAGAACTGAACGCAAAGGGGGGAGCGGGCGCACGTCCGCGGGGCTGGGTCCCAAGCGTGCGTCTCACACACATCCTCGCTGGGTCGCTGAGTTTGCTGTTGGAAGCTATCTCACTTGTCTGAGGGGACATGTTATACAGACACCGGTCACCACTGGCGACAGGAGTGGTGCGGCGGCCCGGGGCTTGGAGCCTCTTTCACGGTGAGAATTCACAGGCCAGACGGACTACAGTGCAGCAGGAGAAATGAGATGTGGGCCCTGCTCCCAGCCACCCCACGCAGCCACGCACCCACCGAGCACACCCCTGCCAGCCCGGCTCCCTGATGCCACGATGCCCGTGACAGCCAGCACCAGCCAGGATGGTCAGGATGAGACGGTAACGGCCTGAGGGCCTGGTGGGCCCCTCTCTTCTACTCTGGGGGAGCAGAGCAACAGATTCGCAAATGGAAGAAGGAACCATGGACTAGAGCTGGGAAGTAACTGTGTCACAGACTCACTCCTCAAACGCACACTCAAAGCGAAGGAGCGCCGAGCTCTCCCTCACGCTCCTGCTGCGGTCTAGCGAGATCCCGACTAAAAGTAAAAGAACAGTACTGCACACCCCATCTGAGCCCTGTCAGTGTGTCATCACCCTGGGCCGGGGCACAGGGAGGGGCCGCCCTGCGGGGCCCTGCACCAAGGAGGGCCAGGCATGGCTGCTGCACTTGGCTCGGTGTCCATGGGAGCGGACAGTGAACCCATCAGACAGCCTTGCCCAGCCACCCCAAGTGGAGGGGCACCCTTAGTGACCACACAGGGACAACAGGTGTTTCCTGGGACGTGAGGCCTCAGATTGGGGAGATGGGTGGCAAGCGGGTGCCTGTCCCCAGAGAGCTGTGCCAGGAGGGCCAAGTGTGCATGAGAGGACATTTCGCCAGAGCCAATTAATGGGTGTCCCCTTGGGCAGGTGTGGGCTGCCCAGGGAGAAGGAGGGAGGCCACTGGCACTGAGCCTGCGCTGGGCTGCTGTGCCACCCCAGGGCTGCCATGGAGGAGCATATGGCCTCAGGGCCTGTCCCACCCCCACCCTGCCCCCACACTCCTCTCCTGTCTCCCTCCGGGTCCCTAAGAGCCTGGTACCTAGGAAGCGCAGTCCACGACCCTTCTCCCCAGCTGCGCTGAGAAGGCCCCCCATGTCAAGGACACACCCCAGCTTCTAGATCCTCCTGTTCCCTTCGCACAAGCCCTACAGCCAGGGGCTGGGCTCTGGGCTGCTGTGTGCAGCCAGGCCCAGTCCAGGCCCACCTGCTGGCCCTGGCAGCAGGAGCGGTGCAGAGGTGCCTGAGGCTGGACCCCACCCACCGCAGACTCAGTGGGGTTTCTTTAGAGCACTGGGATGGTGCTGTCACTTGTGGGAGCAAGCACACACTCAGATGCAGAGTGCGCCACCACCCTTCTGTGTCCAGGACCCTGTGGGGACAGCCGGCAGCTGCTGGGAGGGGCAGCTGGGCCTCAGCCGAAGGGAGACCCCAGCCCAAGGCTGGCCCCGGCGGCGAGCACCAAACAAGGGTACCAGGCAGTCCCGGGACAGAGCCACCCGAGGCGCATGCAGCAGGGCACTTGGTGCCCTTGGGCACACAGCAGCAGCTCCCGGGTCCCGAGGGCTGCACACAACCACAAAAAGGCACTGGCACCAAGAACATGATGGCCAGGTCGTGCCCGCTGCCCGGGGGCAGGGCCAGTTACTCCACCCTTGTCCCAGGAGTTGGGGGAAGAGGGCGGGGACACAGGGGACCATGGGAGCTGCTGGAAAAGTGCAGGGAGGCCTTCTAAGCGGCCCAGTCCCAGACCCGAGGGAAGATGGGTTCCACTACCAGACCACGATGTTGCTCAGCTTAAATTTGCTCACTGTATAGACTTTGTGTGGAGGGGGAAAAGGTTGCAGGGAGGTCCCTATTGTTAATCCCCAGTCTGGGAAACCCAGAGCACAGGCCTGGAGTGAGCCAGATGCCTGCGGGCTAGAGTGGTCTCTGCAGCCTTGCCAGGCCCTTGCTCTCTGCATGGGGACATGTGGCCCCAGCAGGGGCAGAGTCCGTGACCCAGAGCTGCCCAGGGAGCCATCCCAGAAGGGCGGAAGAGGAGGCAAGACAGCTGCACATTGTCACCAGGGCAAGGCAGGTGCTGGAACCAAGGAGGGCACTCCCAGAGGCGCAGGGGTGGGCACTTCCAGCAGGCACTGGGGCAAAGGCACACCCAGGACAGATGGCAGCACCAGAGACAAGGTGGGCCGCCGGGCACCAACCCCGCTGTCCCGTGCGACCTTGGGGAGAGCCCAGAGGCAGGCAGTCTGAAGTACGCAGCCCAGCTGGCCAATTGTGGGCGCGCCTTTTGGGCGAGTGGCACAGATGTGGTGGTTCGCACACACTGGTTCTGTCTAGGAAGCACCCGTCGCGTGTAGCACCCAAGAGTAAAGAGCACCATGAGGCGTGGTGCATAGCAAAGGGGCACGGGGCAGGGCTCCAGGTGCAGTCACAGTTGGACCGTTGGGACAGTAAACAGTGAGTGGCAGGTGCCTTCCAGGCAGGCGCAGGACGGGCAAGGGGTCCAACCGTCCCTCGTGCCAGGGTGGTGGCTCGGGGCCGTCCGGTGGTCAGCCAGGGCAGCCCCAGGAGCAGTGGTCTCTGGAATGCTCGGAGGGTTCTACTTTGAGCTTTGTGGGGACACGGGGAGGTGCGGCGTCCACGGCACACCTGCCGCCCTTGGGTGGGACCTGGGAGATGGGGAACTGGTGACAGTTAAGCAGTGGAGGCTCCGCAAGCTGACGATGGAGCCTGGCCGCCCTTCAGCAGGTGCAGCTGCCGAGGGTCCTCGCGGGGGTGAGGACGTAGGGGGGAGAAAGTCTGGCCAAACTACGGCTGCCCAGAGTGATGCCCAACACAAACAGGGTCGAGAAGCAGCATGGCACATCTAAGGCACGGGCACTGCGCCGCCACCTCTGCGCTCAGAGATCAGACAGAATGCAGCAAATGACAGGATGAAAAGCACGCCTGCCACGGCCTCCCTCAGCACGGGCCGCCTGCCCACCCCGGACGCGGGACACTGGAGCCGAGCTCGGGCTGTCGGCCACAGAGAGCTTGGTGGGACACATGGGGCAGAATTTACAGGGTTTTGTTTAGAACTCCAAAGTTCAACGAATGCCCTATTTTAGGGTGAAAACAACTATAAGTCCGAGAACGATGCACAGCATCCATGAGCTGGCCCACAGCCGCGTGAAGTAGTGTCATCGACTACGACAGGGTTCGAAGGTACATTTCTCACGAGAAATAACAGCAGGTTGAGATTCCTCTTTCCTATCACAAGTGATAACCAGTGTCTGATATTTTACATTTTCTTCCAAGAAATATCAGTCTATCAACGTTTTTAAAATAAAATGTTTGCAGTAACAATTATTTGTAGAACTTTAAATTAAAAAAAAAAATGATTCTGAATTTAGAGATTTCCAAAAAAGACGTAGGCATACTTCAGGGTCTTCTGACAAACAAATTATTAAAACAGAGACCAGATGAGGCCTTCAAAATAGACAATATATACTATATTTGAAACAAGATTGAGCTCTTGAATTTTAGAACGAATATATCAGAACTGCATTATTATTTCATAAACTTTCCTTTCATTTAACATGCTGAGGTGTCCAGCTGTCCCCACGTGTGTGTGTCTGTATGTTTTCGGTGTGCAAGTTTAAGGAAGGAAAAAAACCACGTGTTTGTTTAGCATATATGTTTTCCACCTTAGTTAACTAGATCTTAAAAATGAAAATGAAACTCTTCTCTGACAGCAAGATTTATCTTGGCAAAGGATAAATACTTCCTCAGAGTGAATGTTGCTAGTCTGTGGGAAACGCGTCCGGGTGGTCTCGCAGTGGCTCCTCCCGCCGGCCGCACGCCTGCCCGCCGCTCGGCCTCCGCAAGGTCCCGTTCTGAGCGCGAGGACCTCAGTGAAGACAGACCGGCTCACCCCCCCGGAGGAGTTACCTTCTGCCAACTCCACCTCCCAGCAACTCGTCAGGGGTCGGGCAGGTCCGAAGTATCCACTATGACTTTAATAAAGATTGTATCATCTTTAATATACGTCCCGTTCTCCAGGACCGTCTGAGCCACGAAGACGGGGCAGCCGGAGGCGATGTTCATCTCCCCGGTGGGCTTCTTGAAGCTGCTGCTGTTGGGGTCTGGCTTGAAGGCGTCTCCCAGATGGCGCCGGGAAGACCCCTGATCCATCAACATGAGCGTCACTTTCTGCTTGAACGGCCAAGGCAGCAGGGCATCGTACTCTCCACGCATGATGACAAAGAACAGGGACAGGTGCGTGCCCTTGCCCATGCCGTCCCCGTTCAGGTAGACCCTGGCACACATCTTGTAGCCGAAGTAGCCCGTGTAGAAAGGCTGGCTGTAAAGGGACAGGGTCTTCCCCATCACGGCCTCCTGCTTCCGCCGCTTGTAATCCCGGATCTTCCAGATCAGCACGCCGTTGTAGCTGGCGGTCTCCAGGACCTGGAAGCGCAGGTCCATGTCCGCCAGGCGGATGTCGTGAACGCTCAACATCTGGTCATGCCGGCTCAGCTGGGATTCCAGCAGGCCTAGCACGGGCGAGAGATTCGGCAAGTGAGAAGCGCGGCTCAGGGGGTCAGCCCACACGAACAGCTGAACCAAGCAACAGGCAGGGCTTCCAGGCTATCTGCGAGGCCGGGTGCCGGTGTGGCCCAGGCCTGCTCTCAGAGGGGGTTGCAGGACGCACACTGGCCGTCCGCCGCTCCTCCCCTGGCAGCCATGGCGGACGCAGCCCACTGTGAGAGCACGGTGGGCAGTGCGGGAGGTGACGGGGCACACTCAGCGGCCACCGTGCATGTTGCCCACCTGGTGGGAGCCAGGGGCTGGGGCTTGGCCGTCCATGCTAACCTCAGCAGCTCCCACCATGAGCCCCCTGCCCATGTAATCAGCCCCTACCGCAGCGCAGCACCCAGTTGCATTCCATGCCACCCTGCTTCCCATGCACATGCACACACTATAACATTCACTCCGTCCAACAGCGTCAGCGGCCGAGACGGAAGCGCGGCCTGGGGCAGTCCACGTGCAGGACCTGTGTCACCGCCTCCCTGGCAAGGGCTCTGTAGCCCCACGCCAGCCCAGGAGGGAGGGCAAGTCTGCATTTCTCTGCAGAACTGCTCTGTACCCAGAGAGGCCTGGGCTCGAGCAGCACTCGCCTGAGCCACCCAGCAGCTCCTGGGCACAGCACTCTCCGGGGGCACAGCCTGGGACACGTGGCCCACCCGGCCCCGCCTGGCTGTGCTCACCTGTGTTGCGAGCTGCCTGCCCGGCACACTTGTCCACGCTTTCCAGCTCGCTCACTCGGTTCTGGAGCGACTCCACGCTGCTCTTCATGCTGTCTGCTTCCTCCCAGTTCTGCCGGAAGGGGCGGATCTCCTTGTCCAGCTCCTTCAGCTTCTCCGCTTGGCTGTCTATTACTCGCTTCCACATCAAAGGTGTTAAAAGACAGTCAGGACTCAAAAAGCATGCCACAACCCACCCAGGATGGGCCAGCCTGGGACAGAGCGGCCACCGGCACCTGGACCTTACTAAGGAGTGGGAGCGAGCTGGCCCCGCTCCACAGAGCTCCAAGGACAAGGACTGTGCCCTGCACGGCAGGGGGGAGCTAGGAGGACATTCCGAGGGAAAATAAATGACGTGTGCTGCGTCCAGGCCGCTCGGCCACACGAGATCAGACGACTGACCTGCCCACTTCTCCGCCGTGTGCCCTGCGGGGTCGGGAGGAGCCCCGTTCCCCCAACTCAGACCAGCCCTACTGCTGCCCACACGTCCACCAATCGCGTGCTGCCCTGGTCCTGGCGCTACTCCCACCCGATGTGACTTCACTGTCCACATACACAGGGGCTGAGAGCAGGTCCCCAGGCGTGTGGCTCCAAATGCCCACACCTGGTTCTGGAGCAGCAGGCTCGGGAGGCCCTGGCTCAGCCACCAGGGGAGTCCCCAGCCGCAGGAAGAGTGCACGTACGGCCCAGGACTGGTTCCACGCCGAGCGCAAGGGCAGCTGGGAGAGCAAAGACAGGCTGACGGTCGTGGTTGCCAAGAGCAAGGCCTGAGCTTGTCTCATCCTCAAGGATGCGATTCAGAAACCCGGGCCACGCTCAGGGTCTCCAGCAGCACAGGGAGCTGCACCCGACTACACAACAGGCTCAGGGCTGCCGAAGCCGGGCCCTAAAGTGTTTTCACGGAGTTCCTGACGCACAGGGCAGATGCATCCCCCAAGGGCCCTGGCAACAAGTGGAGGGGCCCCTTGCTGCAGCTCCCCATGGCAAGGAGCTCTGCAGGTCTCACAGCATTCCTGACTAGCAGCAACATCCTCCCACACCAGCTTTACTTTGCTTGAGGCGGAAGAACAGTTTCTTAATTCATAGACTATCTTTTCTAGGAGCCAAAGCAACCCACGTTAATGGTCGTGCCGAGCGCAGTGCTCCAAACTCCTCCCAGCACTTCCCCTCACGCTGCCGCTGGCACACACCGTGCTGAGGAGGGCAGCCACAGGCAGCAGTGCCTCAGCCCCCGGGCCTGCCGAACACAGGACCTGCGTGGCCTGGGGCCTCGTGGGACCAAGCAAGGCTGCACCTGCTCTTGCAGCCGGACCCGTGGCTGGCTCAGGGCTGCCCCACCTGGCCTGGGGTGCGGGGTCAGAGCATGCACAGTCATAGGCACATGACACACAGATGAGGCTCAACCCATTCACTTAATAAAGGAACCCCCATGTACAGCAGGAAAAACGTGCCATAGTGACACCAGACTCCTTTAATCTGAATGCAGTGAGACCTAAATTAGGCCCCACTCTCAGACAGGGACACCGTGGCCGCGCAGGACTCTAGGACACAGATCTTAGCAGAACTCAGACACCAGAAAATCCATGCCAAGCAACAGCTTGCCTTTAGCTGCACTCCATATCCTTCGCCGACCCTTGCAGCCAGCGGGGCCTAGGCCTGCAGCACGAGGTGTCTGAGGCTGTGTGAGCCGGGCAGCACAAACACCAGCTCAGCGGGTCCACTCATAGCAGCACTGCCTCAGGCGCACCCCCAGCTGTCTGCTAAGAAGGTCCAAGTCTTTCAAAGAGTAAAACATGAAGAATGATGCTTCTTGGCCAAACAGAAGCACCCTCCCCCGCTGCTTAAACCAGTGCCCTGGCCACTGGACACTGCACAGACCATCAGCATGTGGTCGGCTGGGGCCTGGGGTCAGCGGAGGAGGTGGGATTTACACCGAGACCTGAGGCATCTAAGAAGCAATGAGACCGCAGGGCCTGCAGCATGAGGCAGAGCACAGAGGCAAGGAGTGGCCAGCCACCCAGGTCTCCTGGTGACAGTCGAGCAGAAGGCAGGCCCGGGCTGCAGGGGGAGGGGCTGCTCAGGCCACACACAGAGCCAGTCCTACCCACCCTCAACCTGTCCTTGAAGCCAGGCCAGGATTTCTCTCTCAATGCCAGCCAAGGCTGCCAAGGCCACAGTGCCATGCACGATCAGACCATCTTCCACCTGCCAGGCTGCATCTGCCAGGCTGGGCAGGCCCTGGGTGCGTGAGCCACGTCTCTCCTGCACAAGCTCTGGGAACTTCCAGGCCTTTGTCCCTTATCTATCTGCTCTCTCTCCATGGGGAAGGCGCATGCCACACCCCTGTGCTCCTCCCACATGCAGAGGTCACGGACGCTGTGGTCGCCATGCACCCTCCACGGCCCCACGGCCCCCTTCCTATCTGATTTTACATCCGTCCTAATAGTTCTTCAACACATCACACAGAGTGGGGTCAGTACCTCTAAGCTCTTCCAGCTGGCTGGAAAAGGGGGCAATGGACTACGAGGGCTCTCCCCGCCAGGGCAGGCAGTGAGACCCTGCCTCTACACCCTGAGGTTGTGAACATGGGCACGTCAGCCCCAGCATGTAGCCAGAACCGTCCTGCTTACGTGCAATGGCGTCACACACTGGTTCGCTGCTCATCCGTCCTGTGGGGACACTTTTAGGTAGGACATGGACTTGCCTGAGCTCCTAAGTCAAGGCCAAGTTTAGTTTAGTGGCTGTATTTCTTTTTTTTCCTTTTTAATTTTTTTTTAAGATTCATCTATTTTTATTGGAAAGTCAGATATACAGAGAGGAGGAGAGACAGAGAGGAAGATCTTCTGTCCACTGGTTTCACTTCCCAAGCGGCCGCAATGGCTGGAGCTGAGCAGATCAAAGCCAGGTGCCCAGAGCCTCCTCCAGGTATCCCACGCAGGTGCAGGGTCCCAAGGCTTTGGGCTGTCCTCGACTGCTTTCCCAGGCCACAGGAAGGGAGCTGGATGGGAAGCGGAGCTGCTCGATGAGAATGGCACCCATATGGGATCCCAGTGCATTCAAGGCGAGGACTTTAGCCATTAGGCTAACACACTGGGCCCTAGCGGCTCTATTTCAAAGGGTTACACCTGCCCAACAGGCAGAGGCAGGCAGGTGAGCTGCCTGAGTGGACAGCTCCCTGAAGCAGGGGTTTGCCTAGCAACCTGGGACAGTCTGATCCTCAGCCAAATGCTCCAAGTCTGCAGCAGGCTCACTCATACACTCTGCGATGCCGCACCCCTGGGCGACGCCCACACTCACAGCTCGGATCTTTCCTGGCACAAGAGCATGACGGCTCCATTTCTTCCTGCTGCTCTTCAGCCACTTAAATCCTGTGCCGTTCACAGCACACAGCCCCTACTGTCAACAGGGGAGAGGCGAGCCCTGACACCCACTCAGGGCTAGAACAAACGCCCCATCTCTGCCTGCAGGTGACACAACAGCACGCTGACAAGCAGTGACACAGGTGAGCCCTCAGGCTTGCCACACACAGCTGACTTACTACAGAGGTGTCTGCCTACAAGACCATCTACCAGTAATGCCTACGGAGTACGCTGCTGGCAGCAGGGGCAGGGCCTGGGCCCACCGACAGCATCGCCCGCGGCCTGAGGGGCAGCTGCGTGCCTGGCTGTCCCAAGGGCCTCTGGATTACCGCAGTGAGACACAGGGGAAGGAGCAAGTACTCGGCTTTTGCTCACTTTAGAAACTGCACGCATCAGCTCAGGAGCAGCATGAACCCTTAACAAAACACAGCTTCAAGTCTCACTTTGCCAGCAGCAGACTGCAGCAGATGTAAGAGTTTAGAATAACCGCTTGATTCTGCTTCTGTATCGCTTTCTGCTGAGCAAGAGTAGAGCCATGTTAGACTAAGTATAGAAAAGTCATTTCATGAAACAAGTAAAGTTTTAGTTTCCCAGAAATGAGTCAGACAATTACAGGAATAAAAAAGATAAAGAAAGCAAGGTCGTTACAGGAATGTGGAGGATAAGAAAGTGAGGGAAGCACTAGTCCTTAGGACTAGTCACCTAGTCCTAAGACGAGGAATACAGACTGTCAACAATTGAGAAAATATACAAAGTTAAGGGACCCCCGGGCTATCTAATCTGAAAGTGAGAAATGCTGACTGTTATGCAGAGTTTATGATTTTGCCCTATAAAAACTGTTCCAAAATGTTTATGAGATGCGCAGAGTCCTGGGTGCCTCCAGAGACTCTGTTGCCCATTCGCGAATGCTCAATAAAATCCTCATGCTTATTGCAGCCTCTGCGTTTGACTTGTTTTGCCAATGACGGTGCGGCTCCCCTCCGCGGGGTTGGACTCTCCCTGAGTCTAACACAGACAGGTGACCGACAGGCTTTCCAGAAGCGCTGGAGACCACGGCTGCCCACGGCTCCCCTCACCTGCCCAGCACCAGGGCAGTCAGGGAGACCCCGCCAGGGGACCCAGCCATGTCTGAGCAGCTCACCTGCAAATGCAGTATTTTGGACTCGTTATTTCGAAGCATCTCCTTCTGTCTTTCAATCTCAATTTCGAAGCTGCAGATCTGGTTGTGCAGGCTCTGGATGCTCTTGTTCTTCTCCACACTCTCATTCTGCAGCAAGGAAACCTGGAAAGGAAACGCTCCCATCAATCTAACAAAAGTGCTCTGAGCATTAATTAGCAAGCAACAGGTTCACTGAGAGTTCCAGAATTCCCTGAGACTCAAGAGAGAACCTTAAACACTGCACTTCTCACCCTCCCAGTCAATAAGCGGAAGCAAAGTGCAGCCACTGATTCAGTTTTTGTTTGGCATAAAACATTTGAAGAGCTCTCAAATTCTGACCAGAAAATGTTTGCAAGAATATTCTTATATCTCATCCTGTTTGTAGAGACATCAGGTCTCCAAGAAGCACGTGGGCTCTGAGCGTCACGGCACGGGGCCTAGAGCTACCGCCGACCTGGTGTATACTTCAAACGCGCTAAGGAACATCTAAGTTTGTGCCACAGGGCTGAGGCTGACGGCCCTGCGGGCCCGGCTGGGGAGTGGCCCAGCAGACGCAAGCTCTCTCTCTCTGTTCCCCCCTCTAATTACCATATAAATAAATTAATTCATTTAAAAAAGTTTGTATCACAAAAAAGTACAGCAGGCCATGGATACGTCAGTCAAGTCGATTGAATAATTTCGTTATCACAATCTCACTGTGCCGTCAATGTGTACAACTGCTGTGTGGGCAGCAGAGGCCTGGTTCCACCCCAGGGCATCGGCGCCCAGCGCCCTCCGTGACGTGAGGATTAGACGCACAGGTCAGCACTGTGCCTCCTGCGCCCTCCGTGGCGTGAGGATTAGACCCACAGGCCAGCGCTGTGCCTCCTGCGCCCTCCGTGGCGTGAGGATTAGACCCACAGGCCAGCGCTGTGCCTCCTGCGCCCTCCGTGGCGTGAGGATTAGACCCACAGGCCAGCGCTGTGCCTCCTGCGCCCTCCGTGGCGTGAGGATTAGACGCACAGGCCAGCGCTGTGCCTCCTGCGCCCTCCGTGGCGTGAGGATTAGACGCACAGGCCAGCGCTGTGCCTCCTGCGCCCTCCGTGGCGTGAGGATTAGACGCACAGGCCAGCGCTGTGCCTCCTGCGCCCTCCGTGGCGTGAGGATTAGACGCACAGGCCAGCGCTGTGCCTCCTGCGCCCTCCGTGGCGTGAGGATTAGACGCACAGGCCAGCGCTGTGCCTCCCGTCTGCTGGCCTCAGCTCCTCTGCACGGGACTGCTCCCTCCCGTGCATGGGAGGCAGGGGAGGAAGACCAGGGTGGACTCTGGCTCGCGGCCTGCCTGCATTTAACTGTTGCAACAGAACAACTGACTGAAGGGCTTCCGGTCTCTCCCTCTCTGTCACATTGCCTGCCAGATAAATTAGTAAATCCTTAAAAACAAAATGTCAAGATGGGCTTTGGTTCCTTGGGGCCGCCCTGAATTCCTCAAGCCCACATCTTAACCCTTCCAAATGCTCAGTCAAGTCAGTTTTTCCAAATCTACCTTTCACCTTTTTTTTTTTTTTTAAATCCTTTTCCACAAAAAGAGAACTAAAAACAGAAGGAGCTATAGAGGGAAAGATTTTCCATCTAGCGGTTCATTCTCTAAATGGCCGCGATGGCTACAGCTCTGGCCGGTCCAGAGCCGGGAGCCAGGAGCTTCTTGCAGGGGCCCCAGGCCCTGGGCCATCCTTCCCTGTTCTCCCAGGCCTTTAGCCTTTATTTTTATTAGAAAAAATGTACAGAGAAAAGGAGAGACAGAGAGGAAGATCTTCCGTCCGATGATTCACTCCCCAAGTGAGCACAACGGCTGGTGCTGCGCTGACCCGGAGCCAGGAGCCTGGGGGACTTTCCTTTGACCAGATTGTTCCCCACGGCCCCGGAGCAGGGGCCCAGGGACTCGCACGGTCTGCCTGGCAGGGAGCTAGAGTAAGAGTGGAGGACGAGATCCAGCACCTGGATGTGGGAGGCAGGTGTTCGGTTCAGCCAAGCTATGTGCTCCGAGCCAGACCTCAAGTGAGTAACAGGGTCACATTTTAGGAAAGCATAAAATGGAAATGATTGCTCAGCTTGTCCAGCCTTGGCTCGGGCACCCCAGGGTAGGCTGTTGTGTTGGGGTTCCAGTGTTGGGGATCCCTATCCATGCTCTGTTTAAGGGAAACAGATGAGGCAAAAAGGTGGTGATGACCACACGTGACCTGGAAACCTGCACATGTCCCGAGGGGACACACCGGGGGCGCTGACTGTCCACTCTGTTGTCACGTAGTCAGACCCACCCTGAATGGAAAGATCTTTCAACTGAGAAAGGCAGAACTTGTGAGATAAGAATCCCTCTGATTTAAAACTGCAGAGCCAGGACACATTATTCATAAAGAGGAAGTGACCAGTGGCTCAGGTCAGGACTGCCCTCGGAGCCTGGGAGTGCCACCGCGGGGCACCTGCCTCGGCCACCGCGGGGCACCTGTGTGCACGCGCAGCACGGCACTCTGTCACAGAGTCTATATTAAAAATTGGTTCATGTCGGATTTCATGAACAATTTTTAATCCAAAATGTTAAGAACTTTTTTTTAAGAAAAGTTACATTTCCCATTGCCTGGATTTCACATGTGAAATAAGACATCTGTCTGCAAACTGGATGACATGTGCAGCGTGAGTTCCGGCCTCTCTCACTCCTCTTGGTATGAACGCACCCCGGCTCTCCACAGCTGTGCTCAATGTGGTAGGAGGCTTTCCTTTTGGAAAAACCCACAATGCGAGCTTCTTGGTCAGTCTAAGAGGTTTGTAGAGTCTGCCTGCCAGCAAGGCCCTGCTGTGGCAGTGCCACCGTAACTCCCAACGGGGACCCCAGGAACAGCCCTGAGAAGGGGCCTGCTGCTGCAGCTGTCTGTCCCCTCAGAAAACCCACTGTTGTACCAGTGAATGGGGACAGTTGCTCCTGTCAGTCATGGAAGACACAGGACACTGCCCACCCGTCCCCTCAGAGGACCAGGAGGGAGACAACCGGAGCCGTGATGGCCACACGTCTTGGGAACAATGTGGGACACCTCATTCACAAACGAGCCTGTGCGGGGATGTCACCTTGATGTTGTGATCAATGCTAACAAAGTCACAATGTGATTTTATTACAACAAAAGCACACTGATCAGGAATTTGAAAAACAAAGACTAAGCAAAAGCAAAGTATCTTCATTCATTAGCACGCTGTTTCTTTCATCCAAAACCCATCAACAGCCACAGGTTCTCCTCCGGCAGCTGGGACGCCCGGCCTACCTTCTTCTCCAGAGAGTTGCTCCACTCCTTGAGCAGGTTGACGTGCTGCACTGCCGAGCTGGCCTCATGGGCCTTGATCTGCTGGTTCGTCCCCTGTGGGAGCAAACAGGCCAGCCAGTGAGGCAACCGCTCCCTAGCCAAGGGCTCTCCCGGCAGTCCGAAGCCGGAGAAGGGCTTCTCTGAGATCACTCATGCATTGGCAGCAGGGGCCCGCCAGGCCCGGCAGCGTCGTGCAAGGGGCCGCTGGGGCTGCTGCGCATGGGGAGAGGCTGTGTGGGAGCCCACCCCCCAGCCCGCACGGCTCGCAAGCTTCTCGTTCCAAGCCTCGTCTTGCCCACGTTTCACACTTGTGATACCAAGGTATTAAACTTTAAACTCTTCGTAGTTACCTCATATGCTACTTTTTTCATTAAAAATACCAGCCGACAATGTTTAGGCACTTGGGGCTGCAGTTGGGTTCTAGTATCACTGCCTAGCTGCCGTGTAAGCAAAGTAGGGTTTTAAAGAAGTTCAGCACAGTGCATGTGAAAGGTACTGCCCCTCACCATGCCAAGTGGACTCAGAAAACTACATACAGAACATGAGCATCTCCAGAGTACATGCAATGCAGACCGCTTCAGTCAGGAATGAGCACAGGAAGTAGTTCCTCATATATTTAGAATCAATTAGCATAACAATGCAATTTGCTTTGATAATGGAAAATTAAGAAGTCAGAGACATCATACTAGTGATCTCCAAAGCACATACTCTGTACATAAAAATTCATATATATATGTTGGTGTAAGTGAGGCCCTATATCAACATATATATACGCACACAGAGCGCATGAGCGACGCTGCAACGACACGGCGGAGGCCCCGTCTCCACGGAGACCAAGCACAGGAAGCCGAGGGGCGTTCTGGCTCAGCAGCACCTGGCATGCCCTGGCTCTGCAGGAACTAAGCGCACGCCATCGGCGGTCACATCACACACCAGGGTGTGCACAGCTGTAAGACACGCCGCCTCTGGACAGCTCCAGATTCGGGGCTAAATGCAACCTTGTCCCGATGCACCAACAAACTCACTGTTAAAAAAACACCAGGCACAGGCTTCCCAGCCCCGCCCTCCACAGGAAGCAGGCTCCTGGGGCCATCCTGGGGCCATCCCCCGCTGGGGCACTGAGCAGAGGGATGTGGGACTGGGCACTGACACTTCTGCACTCGCACCACAGGTCCGTCCTGCCCCCACTGCTCCGCCTCGGGACAGGGTCCAAGAGTCTGGGCGCTGCTGGATGGTGAGCGCCCAGCCCACTGCACGCAGCTGTCATCACCCATGCCACGGGGTGCTTCATTTCACAGCAAAGACTAGAAGATCCCAGAACTTTCATATTGAAATGATAATATAAAATTTTCTCTCATGGCACAAGGTGACCAGGAAGGACAAGTGTCGGATACTGACCTGAAACACGCAGCCATAGCGCTTAAAGCTACAGGTGCTGGGGGCATTGACACACTCTGACAAGTGTGCACTCAACTGCAACGGGAAAGAGACATGAGTTGTGGCACGAACGTTTGCATGAAAATGTTCAAACATATCAGGGCACAGAGAGCATCCGTCGTACTGTCAGGGTGGAGTTCATCAGGCACATGTGTGTTACTATCACCTGCTCAGTCATCATACACTACAGTCACGTGTATACACATATACACACCGATATACAGAAATACAGTAACTGTAACATTTCTTAAACTTGTAGTTTCTTTAGAAAGAATTGCTCAAAGTGTGACATGGTGTCTGAGGTGCCATAATTTAGAAAAGAAATAAAAAAAAAAACAAACTGAAACGCACATTTAAAGACTATAAACAAAAACTGCATGAAACACAAAAAGTAGAAAGCATTTCAGATGCAACTGGGTCACATGCTTCATCTGCAGCACAGACAGTGCACCGTGCGGGCGGCCGGCTGAGGGTCCAGCACACGGGGGCACCTGCGGACTGCGGGGCTGCCTCCGCAGCGTGGCCAGGGAGCCGCTCTGACAGCGCGGACTTCTGACTGAACCCACAGGTGTGAGAGGGTAAGGAGACACCCCCTGTGCAGTTATTGATGAGGCATTGGATCAGATCACTTCCGTGCAGTCATGCATGGTGGCATGTTCACGGAGGCGCACGGGAAGCCCCTCCGGAGCACGCCCCGGGGTGCCAGTGACACACACTCTCAAGGAGAACCCGCCTCCTCTCTTCCAGCCTGCGGTTTAGGACACGGGGAGAAAAAGGATCCCAGGATCGCGCTCCGACTTCACTCAGACAGCTGAGCAGAAAGTTCCCACGGTGGGAGTGGCCAGGGGGACCACGTGACAGCCACCATGGCCAACCCCGGTCAAAGAACTGTATCAAGCGGAGTTGGGGTGAGAGGCTGTGCTGCCCTGAACCCCATCAGCTGGGGTTGGGACATGTGTCCCTAAGGCACAAGACGGGCGGCAGCATGGCGACTGCACATGGCAGTCCCTTGGGCATTCTAGCCCATTGCTCGGTGCTTTCAACACAGCACCGCCTCGGACGGCTAAGGCGCCTGGTGTTAACACTGAGCCATGCGGCTGCAGTGTGCCACTAGACGGTGCGATGCCAGTTCCTGAACTGGGCAGGGGACCCCCGCCAAAACTAGAGTCCATGCTCCAAAGGGTTCTTTATATCTCTAAATTAATTCTCTGTCCTGAAGTAACAGGGCAGATTCCTTTCTTTACATATTTAAAAGTATAAATTTGATGATGGCTTTTGAAAAGCGTCATCTTTGTACTGTATTCTCATTTCCTCAATTCTGCATTTACCACTTCCAGCTTTTCATTATTTGCTTCTGACTGGCAAAAATCTCATGGCCGATTCTGTATTCTGCCACCTGCTGTTAGCACCAAGCACTGGGGAGGTGCTGGATTTGAGTGTGGGGTCTGCAGCAGGCTACTCCCAGGGACTTCACAAACGGGCAGGCCCAGCTGCCCCTCACCTCGCTCCTCAACAGGGTCTGCACGCCGCACTTGTGAGGGCAAGACACCACCACGCAGGGACACTCGGTGTCTTCATGTTTCTGCAGAGAAGAGCAAAGCCTGTCAGCAGTGAGACACACACACCACGCAGCTCCCTCAGCCCCACCAGCAGCCCCAGGCACAATCTCTCTCTCTCTCTCTCACACACACACACACACACACACACACGCACACACGCAGCTCCTAGCCATGCTGCTCCTGGGTGAGTCATGCCAGCCCGCAGAGTGTCTCTGACTGCAGCCTGTGGGAGGACTCCCTGAGGAAGTGCCTCAGTGGCTCCTGGTCAGCTCAGCCTTGGCCTCTTGCTAGTGATCAGCAGATATTCCCTGGCCTTAAGTCTGGGATTTGCAAATGATACCTGTCAAGGACATGAAAACGGCAGGATTGGGCCCAGTGCCACAGCCTAGTGGCTTAAGATCTCACCTTGCATGCACCAGAATCCCATATGGACACTGATGCATATCTCAGCTGCTCTACTTCCCATCCAGCTCCCTGCCTGTGGCCTGGGAAAGCAGTGGAGGACAGCCCAAAGCCTTGGGACCCTGCACCCGCGTGGGGGACTGAAGGAAGCTGCTGGCTCCTGGCTCTTAGCTTTGGATCTGCCCCTGTGGCCACGTAGGGAGTGATAGTAAATGGAAGATCTTTCTGTCTCTCCTTCTCTCTTTCCAATAAAAATAAATAAATCTTAAAAAAAAAAAAAACAACAGCAGGATTTATTTGCTATTTAAAAACCTAGATCATGAGATGTTGGTGTAGCACCTTCCTGAATGGCACAGAAGCTAACATTGTAAGACTCCGATGAGTGGCTGCTAAACACAGCGCCCGAGGCACCTGCAGGCACCTGTCACAGGCAGAGGCTGCAGCCCATCAGTACACCTGTGCAGGCACATAGTACAGCTCCCCCAGGAAGACGCCAAGTCCCCAGGTCCTTGGGCAAGGGTACAGGCACGTGACGCGGGGCTGGCAGAGCAGAAGGCACCCCCACTCTGAGCAACCAGTCCCACTCTTATTCCAACAATCCCCCCGCCGCGGCACACCCTGCACCGGCCGTGCACTGTTCCCAAGCTGCTGCTGGGACCACAGGTCTGGGTCGAGCGGCTGGCTTCCCTGCTCATTAACTGAGTACCTGGATGTTCAACCTCATAAAGCACTCCCAAGGTGATTTCCAAAGTGGCTAGACATATATGTGCTTCTCTCATAATATATTTTACAAAAATGAGATCTTACAATGGTGATTTTTCAAAAATTAACGCATGTGCTTCAATAGTCCCACATTCAGTACTTTCTGGAGTAAACATAAAAACGAGGCTTGCTCTCAACATCTGAAATGACGCTGACCTACAGACTCAACTACAGAATTCCTGAACTCAGAACAGCTGCCGCACTGACTCCATACACGGCTGAAACCGAAAGAGACCCTCTGTGAACGGCAACAGGACAGGTGCCCAGGGCTGTACAACATCCTCCACACGGGCAGGCAGGCAGGCGGGCAGGCTCAGGGCCCTCCGGCCTCCCAGCACTGTATCCACGTCTCCCACAGAGTGCCCATTCAAGAACAACACACTACGCTTTTTCTTTTAACCGGCGCCCATATGGGATGCCAGGGTGTTCAAGGAGAGAACTTCAGCCGCTAGGCCACCACGCTGAGCCTTCTGCCTTTTTTTTTTTAAATCACAAAGTCAGATATACAGACAGGAGGAAAAACGGAGTAAGATCTTCCATCCGATGATTCACTCCCGAAGTGACTGCAATGGCCGGTGCTGCGCCGATCCGAAGCCAGGAGCCAAGAAGTTCCTCCAGGTCTCCCACACGGGTGCAGGGTCCCAAGGCTATGGGCCGTCCTCGACTGCTTTCCCAGGGCACAGGCAGGGAGCTGGATGGGAAGTGGAGCTGCCAGGATTAGAACCTGTGCCCATATGGATCCCAGCCCATTCAAGGTGAGGACTTTAGCTGCTAGGCCACTGCACTGGCTCCCTCTGCTTCTTTTTAAAAAAGATTTTATTTTCATCGTTGAAAGGCACATTTATAGAGAGAAGGTGAACAGAGAGACAGATCTTCCTCCACCCACAGGTTCGCTCCTTACGTGGTCCAACGTTCGGCACTGAGCTGACCCAAAGCTCAGTAGGTGAAAAGGAGCTTCTTCTAAGTCTCTCGAATGGATGCAAAGTTCCAAGCATTTGGGCCATCCACTGCAGCTTTCCCAGGCCACAAGATGAGAAGTGGAGTAGCTGGGACATGAACCAATGCCCATACGAGAACCGATACGCGCAAGGCCAGGACGGGCTTAGCTCCGGGCCTGCTGCTCCATTTCCGACCCAGCTCCGTGTTAGTGCTGCTGGGAATCAGCCCAACAAGGCCCAAGTCCTTGGGTCCCTCACCAAGGGCAGTCCCTGGCCCCTCAACTACTGCAGCCTTTGGGGCAGTAAATCAGAAAATCTCTTTACTGCCTCTATTATTGTTATTCAAATCTAAATAAACAAAAGGAGAATAAACTTGGTGGGCATTCTGCACCAGCAGTTAGCATGGCACCTGGGATTCTCGCACACCACACCAGGAAGCCCCGGTGACGCCTCCCGTCCTTCGGCCCTGTCACCCACGTGGAAGACATGAACTGAGTTCTGGGCAGCGAGTTCCAATTGGCCCAGCAGACAGGATCTTTCTCTCTCGTTCTCACTTAAAATAAAGTTGGAAAAATTAAAAAAACGACTCTTTTCAAAACACTGATAAAATACACTTAAGGATGAGGTGATGAGATTTTGAATGACTTGGGGACAAAACCTGCTCCCAGTAGGAATGGGGACTCTGGGGTCACAGGCCCTCCACAGCCCAGCAAGGGGTCAGCAGGCGTTCACGTGGCCCTCAGAGGCACAGGAGGCACAGCCACAGGGGGTGTGCGCCTGGGAGGGAAAGCAGCAGAGCCTCAGGGCACACTCTAGTATCCACATTCTTAAAATGTTTATGAGTACTATAGCAAAAGTTGTTAGAAATCCTGATTAATGGGCCCAGTGCGGTGGCTTAGCTGCTAAAGTCCTCACCTTGCACACACAGGGATCCCATATGGGCGCCGGTTCTAATCCCGGCAGCTCCACTTCCCATCCAGCTCCCTGCCTGTGGCCTGGGAAAGCAGTCAAGGACGGCCCAAAGCCTTGGGACCCCGCACCCGTGTGGGAGACCTGAAGGAACTTCTTGGCTCCTGGCTCTGGATCGGCGCAGCACCGGCCATTGTGGTCACTTGGGGAGTGAATCATCAGATGGAGGATCTTCCTTTCTGTATATCTGATTTTCCAATAAAAATAAATAAATCTTAAAAAAAAATCCTGATTTATATCCCTCAGGTAGTAAGCTTTCTAATCACTGTGCGTGCCTTTCCTTCCCATCCTGCTGAGAAGCAAGGCCTAGAGCAGATGGCAGGTTCGCCTCTGCCGGGCCGTATCCGCCGGGAAAGTCCTAGGCCTTCCTTCCTGGCACGGTCTCACAGCAACGCACTGAGCTGAGCCTGGTCCGCCTTCCCCAAGTGCCAAGGCGAAGAAGGGCCTGCACCGTGCTGCATGGTGCCCGTCAGGCATCCCAGGCAGGGAGTGAACAGCAGCGCTCGTGTTTAGGATCGGACTCCACAGCCCCGCTGCGGCTCAGAGACTGTCCTTAATGTGTGCTTAACTGACACGGGACACAATTTTTTCTCAACTGAAAATTAATTATGGGATTCTACTCTACAAATGCCTGATTTTTGTGAAAGGCAAAGTCTGCCTCCGACGGCAGTGCAATGATAAGTACGTCTGGAGAACTGTTCACGAAACCTGCTCCTCAGTCACCGGGACTGAATTATTGGGGAAACGATCCCATCCTTGCAAGCGCTGCCTCTGTTTTCCAGAGGGGGGCGTGGCTCTTCAAGCTTCTTCGTCTCTGGGAACTCCTACCCTGTCCCACTGAAGCCAGGGGCAGGTACGGGCCAACCGTGGGAGGGAAGGAAGACGGAGGACAGAAGGCAGAACAAACCTCATTCATGCACAGCATGCCTTCATGTGCTCCCTGTCCTGGAGCCCCTTCCACCCCAGGGTCCTCAGGGCCACTGCCAGGGTCGCAGCACTCTCCTTCCCCCTCCTTTCTCACTGCCCTTTGCTGGCTCATGGGCGCCAGGACCCCGTCTCCCAGCTGCCAGGACCACCCATCCGCACACATGTATCGCTCCATTGCACCTGTAGGCTGCGGCACAGCCCACCTCAACAGCACACTTCAGCTCTCACAGTCGCTCCCTCTGCCGCTCTCGCCTGCCTGTCCCCTCTGGCTGCTGCCCCACCTCCCGTGTCAGCTGTGTCCCTGAAGCCCACCATGCCCAGGACCCCCACTCAGAGCACACAGGTCCTGCGCTGCATCAGGCACTCACCTCCACCCTCTGTCACATCTTGGTGAACTCTCCTCCTGCAGGGCACACCGGCCCCTGACCACAGCTCCTAGGAGGCGGCTAGTGCACAGCAGGCCCCCTGCAGAAGCTCTCCCTCCGCCTCGATGGAAGCGCAGGACTCTAGCAGAGCCAAGGTAACTGAAGTGGGCAAACACTTAACTGCAGCACTGGGCATCAGGCCTGGCTACTCGAAGCAGCAGCTCCAAGGCACTGCACACCGACCAAGCCAACCTCCGAAACACCAAGGCAGCAGAGACCCCTGGCCTAGCGGTCATCGCTGGGCCTTGTCACCACATCCTGGGTGTCTGGGTTTGAGTCTTGCCTTAATCTCAGCTCCATCCCCCTGGTTAAGCCGCCCTGGGAGGCAGCAGGTGACAGCTGAAGTCACCGACGTGGGGACCTTGGATTGAGCCCCCAGCCCTGGCTGTCACTGGCATCCGGAGAGGGAACAGCACAGAGTTTCTGCCTCTCTAACCCCCCTTCTTCGAATAATTAATGCTCATTTTCTTAAGACCCAAAAAGATATCCAATAATGGTAACAGAAAAATCTGATTACATAAATCAAAATAGGATAAAACAATCAAACTTCACTGTAAAAAGCAGCCAGCTGATGACTACTGTGGTCTCGATCTCAGTCCTGTGCGGACCGCCCCAGGCTGCGCACCTGCAGGGTGACCATGGGGACCTGGCTTTTGCAGTGGCCGCACGTGGCCTCCCGGTACTTGCAGGTCTTCTCCACGTGGTCACGCAGATCCTTCCGCAACACCTTCTCTTTGCAATCGGGGCGCACACAGGGAAGCTCCTCAAACTGACAGACATTTTTTAAATGTACCTGTAGGACAAATCATTCAAAGTTCTTAACTGAAAAAAAAAAATCCAACCTTAAGTACTAGATTCTACAGAGCCACAACACACTCCTACAGAAACAGCTCCCGGTTCCCAGTCTTCACAGCCAAGAGCAGCCACTTTCACGCCGTGCTTCGTGACTGCTGTTGAAGGACGGTGCCACTCCTCCTTCTGCACGATGGACGGGTGCCTGCTGCGAGCTTTGCCTCATTCCAATTCAAATATATTGCTGGGACAAATATGATGCTAACTAAAACCAAAGTTAAACCAAGAGAATCAAACAGACCTACAATGAATCACTCCGATGATAAGGAGCTTTTACTATGCCTTCCATAGTTAGAGTCCAACCCGCTTTCTCTCTTCAAACACCCACCAACACCGACCAATGTCAATGACAGCATAAGAACAGTGCCGCATCTGAGCAGCCTGGCTGTGTTCCAAAGCACCAACACAGAATTGGTCTTGAGAGGCCACGTCACTGAACAGCTCAGCAGCAGGACCAGGTAAGGGTCCACATGGTCAGGCTGGGAGAGACCTACCAGCAGGTGCCCCAGTGTTAACTGCTCTGCACAGCCTCTGCTTTCATTCCGACAACAGATCTGAAGGGCCAGGATCTCTCTCTTGCAGCAATTGTCTTTAAACACCTGGAATTGAAAGATCATCATTTTAGGGGATTAACAGTTCTTCATCTACACATACTGTTAATTTAGATATTTTATTGGAAAGTCAGATTTACAGAGAATAGAGACAGACAGATTTTCTATCTGCTGGCCCACCCCTCAGGTGGCCACAACATCAAGAGTTGAGCCAATCTGACGTCAGGTGCTTCCCAATGGGAGCAGGGTCCCAAGGCTTTGGGCCGTCCTTGACTGCTCACCCAGGCCACAGGCAGGGGGCTGGATGGGAAGTGGAGCAGACAGGATATGAACTGCTGTTCATATGGGATTCTGGTGCATGCAAGGTGAGGACTTTAACCACTAAGCTACCACAGTGGGTCTGCAAGACATTTTTTTAAAAAAACACAAGAGTGTTAATTTGGGAAAGCATTAGTTTCTACAAGTAGAATGGAAAAGCTGCCCCCACTGAGTGACATGTGTAAATAATATAACCTTAGGCAAACACTGGCCTGACCCAGCTGCTCTACTTCCCATCCAGCGTCCTGCTTACTGCCTGGGAAAGCACAGAGGACGGCCAGGTCTTTGGGACCCTGCCCCTGTGTGGGAGACCCAGAAGGAACTCTTGGCTCTCAGTTTTGGATCAGCTCAGCTCTGGCTATTGTGCTCATTTGGGAGTGAACCAGATGGAAGACCATCTCTATCTCTCCTCTCTCCAGAAAATCTGCCTTTCAAAGAAACAGGTAAATTAGTAAATGATATGACCTTTATTGCTCTTCATTAGGTAAGCCAAAGGAAAATGGGTTATATACTGAGCAACGAAAGGCCCCCCCGGAGTGTGCGAACATGCCGCAGGAATGCAGGGAACCCAGAGGCTGCTCCCAGGCGCAGCACAGCAGGCGTGGCGGGGTGAGGAGCCCTGCAGAAGGACCTGGGCCGGGCTAGCTGCACCAACACAGCCCGCAGATGGCGAGCAGACTGACTGCGGTGAGAGATGATATTTTGGGATGATTTGTAAATCAATTCTTTGGGGGTTTTCTCAGTTTTCGCCATAAAAAACCACAGATTTTCCATTAGAAGAAATTTTTCTTTTAAATATATATCAGAGCAGTTAATCTAATAATGAAAATTATTTTCCACTGAAAATGAAAATCTTCCTGTCTTTAATTTTATTTGCCCCTTAGAAAACAAATCTTCTCACTCTAACAATCTGCATCTTTGCTCTCAGGCGTTTCTAAGAAACTGCACCTGTCAGCACTCACACAGAAGACCAACAGGGGCTTCAGGATGCCTTCAGAACTCCACAGGCAAGCAGTCAGCAGCTGCTAAGAACTAAAAATGAACTCAGATGGAGTAAAGCCTAATCCTTTATAAACATGATTTTTTAAAAAGTCATGACTGACAATACTTAGCAGCAACAGAACAAGTATTTTAACCAGGAATAAATAAGCTTACAGACAGAAAAACAAGCCCGGAGCCGTAGCCCGGCGGCGTGCACACAGCGCTGCAAGGCCGCGGGCTCTTGAGTCAGACGTGCGTCTGTCCACACCTCCCGGAACCCAGCCGGCTGTGCTCTTTCCAAGGGGATCCGCACGCCTCACTGCGATCTTCAGCCATCAATTTCATTGAAAAACAGGAGATGACAATGCTGAGCGATCACAAGAACCCCTGGGGCTGTGTGACGTGGCACTCGCCCAACAGGCACAGGGTCTCCAACTTCCGAAGCAGGTTCAGGGACACCCACCTGGCCAACCTGACAACAAGCTAGCACCTACAAAGCATCCCAGACAGCAAAGCCCCAGAGCAAGAACTGCACTGTACAGTTCAATGACTTCCAATTAAACACTGCTAGGTCCATTTATCGCATGTCAGAACCCACAGGTTTAATGGGGTCTTGATTCAAAGTGCATCCAGCAGGGCTTGGTGGCATATGGACGGCCACTGTCAGGCAAGCTGAGTGGTCCCCGTATTGAGAGTGCTGCTTCTGGCTGCGTTGACACCCGCAGCTACGTGAGGAGTCGCCAGGCTGACTGTACTCAGGTCAGACGACCCCGTGGGAGAAGGATGCCAACACCATGACAGATCAGAAACCCATAAGTACCTTGTCCTTGGCGATGCTTTCTTGACACGCGGTGCACTTTGGACTTGGAGAGCTGCAAGGGAGACACCGGGGCGCAGTCAGAGCAGAGCCTTCAGGCCCCCACAGGCCTGAGTCGCGCTCCATGTGAAGCAAGGGAGAACAGAGCAGTTTCTTCAATGCAGATTTTCCAAAGGGAACTTAGTAAGTAGAACACTTCAACTCAGTCCCACTAGGAGAGCCCTTTTCAGGGAACATGAAAGTGAACTCGACTCCAGCTCTCTCCAGCACAGGCCCCTGCAGCTTACTGAGGCTGCCTAATGGACTCTGCTCCCCAAGAGGCCCGCCCGCCGCCACACGCGCTGCACAAAGGGCAACACTGACTGCTGGCCAGCCCCTCCCCTGGGTTCACCGCAGTCAGCAGGCCTTTTTTGGGCACGGGGCAGGGACATCACTGCTGAGTGCTGCAGACCGTAGACAGCCCAAGGAGACAGGACGGTCTGGGGTGCGGGCTAGAGCTGAGAGGAAGGGGCTGGAAAGCACTGAGCAGGGTGCTGGGACTGCAGAGGTCTCGGGGCAGCCCAGCCTCGAACGGCCAATGTGCCCTGGGACTAGAACCAGCTTGAGGCAAACCTCTGTCATTCCCACCCCCTGGTGCAGCATCCAAAGCCTACAGACGAGCTGCGAGACAGAGGAAGCTGCTTCTCGGCCTCCCTTTGCGGTCACTCAGCAGCACTGCCACTGCTCAGGAGTGCAAGGTTAGGTGTGCACAGACAGGGTACTGCTCAGAGGACCCCATCCCGTGTGCCCCGGCCCTGGCACATCCTGCACACAACAGCAGAAAACTGCAACAGCTGCTTCTGCCTCTTCCACAGAACTAGGAGCTCCGCGAGCAAAACAGCGGATGCCATGGCTTCCCGGACACAGTGGCTCACAGCTGGAAGGAGACAGTGCCACAGGTGCGGGCAGACAGGACCCTGAACGCGTCACGAGCCAGGCTTACAGACTCTCCCACCTCTCCAAGGTGAATGAAACCTCTGCGGTTTACTTTGCTAACAAACAAGCGTGTAAGTGGCCGGAGGCGCAGGCCATGGCAGGCTATGTGGCAGCTGCCCCCAGCCGCATGGCACCCACCTCAGCACGTTAGCCATGCAGCTCTCACAGAACCGGTGCCCACACTCGGTCTGCTTCGGGTTGCACAGCACCTGGCGGCACTTCTCACACTTGTACTTGTCTTCCACGGGCTTCACAAACTTCTCCTTGTAACCTCCCTGCTCGGGCACAAACACAGCTGTCCCAGGGCCGCGGTCGGGGTGGTGCTTCAGCGGGGGGTTGGCCTGCATGGCGCAAGGGGAGTCCACCTTTTTACTTGACTCCATTTTAGTGAAGAGCTCTGCCGGGGAAAAGGAAAGAAGGGTGGGTAGGTAGCAGGCCGTCCCAGCACCCACAGCGGTGGGAAAGCAAACGTGCCCGAGAAACACAGCTTTGGTTTTTTATTTATTATTATTGTTACATTATTTTACCTGAAAGGCAGCAAGACAGAGACAGCTCTCCCGCCTGCCAGCTGGGCCCGGCTGCCTGCAGGAGTCAGGGATCTGCCAGGCCCAAGGCAGCTGCCCACAACTTTTTTTTTTATTGGAAAGTCAGATATACAGAGAAGAGACAGAGAGGAAGATTTTCTGTCTGCTGATTCATTCACCAAGCGGCTGCAACAGCCAGAGCTGAGCCAATTTGAAGCCAGAAACTGGAGCCTCTTCTGGGTCTCCCACACGGGTGCAGGGTTCCAAGGTTTTGGGCTATCCTCGACTGCTTTCCCAGGCCACAGAGAGCTGGATCAAAGGCAGGGCCACCAGATCTAGAACCGGTGCCCATATGGGATCCCAGCTTGCACAAGGCAAGGACTTTAGCTGCTAGGCTACTGTGCTGGGCCCACACTTTTCTTTTTTAAAGATTGTTTTTTTTGAAAGGCAAATACATAGGGAGAAAGATTTCCATCTGCTGTTCGTTCCCCAAGTGGCCGCAACAGCTGGAGCTGAGATGATCCAAAGCCAGGAGCCAGGAGCTTCCTCCAGGTCTCCCACACAGGCGCAGGGTCCCAAGGCTTTGGGTCATCCCTGACTGTTTTCCCAGGGCACAGACAGGGAGCCAGATGGGAAGTGGAGCAGCCAGGACACAAACTGGCGTCCCTATGGGATCCTGGCAGCTAAAAGGCTAGATTTATCCACTAGGGTATTGTGCTGGGCCTGGAGCCTAGAACCTTTAGTCTAGGTTTCCTTGCTGGGTGTCAGGAACCATGTACTTGAGCCATTCCCTGATGTCCAACAGGGATGCAGGGACGACCAGGCACACTGACCTGGGCTGAGAACACCCTCTCTGAGTTCTCCCTCTCAACATGTAGTGAGAGCAGCCGTGCTTCTTTCTTTCCACTCAACATTACTATGCTGAAAACTCACAGAAAAATGAACTTCACACATCACATTTTCAATGTTCTTCACGGTACGCACACCACTCTGCTGCGCTGTATGTCTGAGCTCCATGCCCGGTGCTCAGCATGGACTCAACTCACACTCTCAGCCCACCTCCCTGCCCTCGTGGGCCGACGGGCCGTCACACTGCCTGCTCTGCGGTCCAGGCTGCCAGCAGGCAGGGACTCTGTCTCGGACACGCTTCCAGACCACAGGTGCTGCTCCTTCCGGCAAGCCCCTGGGGAAGGCCTCCCATGCCTGATGGGCCTGTCCTGCCCCCATCTCCCCGAGAACCTGTGCTCTGTGCTAGTAACAGCAGCATGTGGCAGGGCAGGGTCACGGCTCCCACAGGCATCCCTGTGCCAAGGGCACTAGCGGGAGGCCAGAGGGGTCTGCGCAGGCTCTCCCAGCACATGTTGCTACGAGCCCGTCTGCCAGCACAGTGGCTTCCCAGTGCAAGTTTCTCTCAACAAGAAGGGGGGCAGGTCCGAGGAATGAGCCAGCTGAGCAACTTCACCGCTGACACTCAGGAGCCAGCAAGTGAACACAAATAAGCACACACACGCGTGGGACAGCTCCTGCGGAAACCCCAGCTTCTTGACAAGTACAGCACGCATTAACAAATACATATCAATAATGAGGCGGGCACCACGGCATGGCACACTCCTCAGACAGCAGGACACACGTTCACGCTCCGGCTCTGCTCCCAACACCAGCTTCCTGCTGATCCACTCCCTGAGACGGCAACTGAGGGCAGACCCCAACAGTGCTCGCTGCTAGCAAACACCGCCAGCCCTGTGCGGCAAGCAAGCACGTCAACGTGCACCCTGGGAGCACTGCTGGGACAGTGCCCACTCTCCGTGCTCCCTAGGACAGTCTGATGCTGTGGTGCAGGGGGTTTAGCCGCTGTGCTCCCCAAGACTTCACCAAGGAAGTGAGGGGCCATGAGGCGAGGCCAGGAAGGAGTGTAGCGTGGGCCAGGCTGGGAAGCCTCAAGAAGACTCTGCACTACGAGACTCCCTCGGGGCGCTGCTCCCATCCCAGCGCGGCAGTTTCTTTCCAAAGTCCCAAACACCAGCTCCCTCCAAGATGCGTTACGTTTTTAGCCCAATTTGCTTCCAGAGCGCCTCCCCAAACACCCCCTGGGGGCCACACACCGTACCCCAGAGTGCAGGCACCAGGAGAGAGCGCATCAGACCACTCCTTCTGTCTGAAGTTGATAAAGGATGAACACTCCCTGGATAGAGACGTACAGAAACCCGAACGCCGGCAGCAGGACACTGGACAGCTTAACGTGCTCCACTACGCTGGGGTTAGCTCTGATCAATAGAACAGGCTGGAGCTGAGCAAGCACTCTCATGAGAAATTCATTTATTTGTGAAAACAAAGTTTCGAGGGCCCGGCCCAGTAGTCTAGCAGCTAAAGTCTTCCACCTTGTAGGCACAAGAATCCCTTATGGGCCCTAGTTCTAATTCCGGCAACCCGGCTTCCCATTAAGACCCTGCTTGTGGCCTGGGAAAGCAGTGCCAACTTACAACCTCATGTCTTGAGGAGCCATGCTTACAACGCAGCCACCTCCAGCTCCAGAGTGGTACCGGATGCTGCAGGACAAAGCCTCCGGCTCCTGGCTTTGTGGAATACAAGGAGACGTGAACGGCTCCCTAAGCACATGAAAGGCCAGGACTACGCTGCCCAGGCTCAGCAGTCCATCAGAACTCAGCCCATTAAGGTGGCACGCAGACGTGGCCACACATCCTGGTCCTGTACGGCCTGTCCTTGCAGCAGGAACAAGGCAAGCAGCAGTGCCCCTCTGTCCAGCACAAGGCAAGGACAAGCCCGAGTAAGGGAAGTGAAATCCCTGTATGTGTGGGCCCGGCGCGATGGCCTAGCAACTCAATATGCACCCTGAACGTGCTGGGCGCTGGTTCTAATCCCAGCAACTCCACTTCCCATCCAGCTCCCTGCTTGTGGCCTGGGAAAACAGTCAGGGACGGCCCAAAGCCTTGGGACCCTGCACCCGCGTGGGAGACCTGGAGGAAGTTCCTGCCTCCTGGTTTGGGATCGACACAGCACTGGCCACTGCAGTCACTTGGGAAGTGAATCACTGGATGTAAGATCTTCCTCTCTGTCTCTCCTTTTCTCTGTACATCTTTCTAATAAAAATAAATCTTTAAAAAAGAAAAAGAAGAAAGAAACCTCTGCCTGCAGAGGTCCAGATTCCCCCACTGGTCACACCCACGCAGATGGCCAGGGGCGGCCAGCAGGCACGGGAAGGCGTCTCCTCTCTACATATGTGGCAGCAGACAGCAAAGCCAAATTGCAGCTTTCCTTTGCTACCAACAATGTATGCTGGGAATTTTTCTGTATCAGATGTAAAAAAAAAAAAAACCTTTTTATTTTGAAGGTCTGACTGCCACCCAGCTGGAGAGCTCATGACAGTTTATAGGTAATCCTTACGGAAAGCTTGGCTGCTTTTGATGTTCCACTATTAGACAACTTTGAAATGAGCCCAAATCCAGATTTTGAACACTTTGGCAAGCAAACAGCAAAGGACTCGCTGGGGCAAAGACACCCACATTATTAAAAATGAAATCCCGGGGGGTGCTGAAATCTCTGTCAACCTGTCATTTCTTTTTTTTATCTGAAAGGCAGAGAGAGGCAGAGAGAGCAGCAGGGACCGCACAGCCCTCCCTGCCAGTGCCGGGCGCACAGCAGCAGGGGGTGGGATCAGGATCAAGGCGCGGGACGTGAGACGCAAGGCAAACCAGCATGTGGACTTCTCCAGTGAGCAGCAGCTCGTCACACAGACACCACCTCCAACGGCACAGCGCATACAAACACCACTCCTCCTACTGCAGCTGGCCTGTTTTCTGGAGAGGGCTGCCGGCCTCACTACTGTCGTGTGGACGCCATCCTCTAGGGAAGGGAAGTTGTGGGCACGCAGACGCACAGGAAGCTCCAGTGGCCCCTGGGTGCCCTTCTGCACCACAGAGCAGTGAGCCCTTCCTTACCTGTCCCTGCTCTGTGCCCAGCACATCAAGGCCCAGACAATGGACAGATGGTGCCTGCCCTGGAAAGCCAGGCCAGCCCTGAGAGTCCAGTTCAACGCTGTGCCAAGCAGCAGACCAGAGAAGTCCCTGCCTGCAGGGAAAGAGCTGTCCATTCTCAGAGGAAACTCATCCCAACTGACTCCACCTTCCGGTCCACATTCATGTCAGCAGGCCACAGCCTGTCCAGCCAGGCCTACCCCAAGTCCTGGAGTTACAGCCCATCAGACGGGGACCCACACTTTACCTACTGAGCCCACTCCCAGTCCTGGATCTTGCACTCTCCAGGTTGTTCTGCAGTACACTTCGACAGGACTTGCCCCCATCCGAGCACTTACAGGCTGACACTTATCAGCCTGCCCTTATTCTGGCTCATGCCCGTACCAGTGGATACAATTACATTAGCCCAGTCTGGCTCTCTTACTAACCCAGTTCACGTGCAGGCCAATAGGTGTTGTTGCCCTGCCCGGTCTGGTCTGTCCCCAGTCCCAGCTCCCATGCTCACCAGCAGGAGCAGTGGCCCAGCAGGGGAGTCCCCACAGCTCCTCTACGAGGCTCACACCCCCTTCCCCACCAGGTCTCATGTGTGCTGGTGGGTGCTGTGACCCAGTTTGGCATGGCCCATCTAACCTTGGCATGTGCCAATGGGTGCTGTAGCCTGGCCTGGCCCGGCCTGCTCTGCCCCCAGTTCCAGCTCACACTGATGGTGCTGCCATTCAACCCAGACCAACCAGCCTCCAGCCCTGGCCTGTCTCGCACCCTGTCCTGGTTCTCAGATCTGCCAGTGCTATGAACTGGCCCTAGCTTTCTAAGATGACCCAGGGCTCTGGCAGACAAAGAGGAGGCAAACAAACACCGAATTGCTAGGCCATCATGAAGGG